GGAATTATTACAACAGCTTTAGACGCATTAGTTTCGCAAAGATTTAATGCGTTTGAAAAATTTCTGACTAAACGCATATTTGTTCAGAGGTGTTCAAAATCAAAAATTAAGTTTACCCACTCCTAAAAGAAGTTAAATCGATTGGTTATAATGAACTGCTAGTCACCACGTAGCAGTTTCTGACCCCGTAACTGGACCTGAAGGCATATTTTTATAAGAATACTAAGGCGACGAGTCTTTGGTTTCCCCCAAGCCCATCTCACATGCACGCATTAACACAGCCACCAGGTACTCAAATTCCATTAGCTACGAGCAACCAACTCACCGAACGTCAACCCCCAGCACGTGAGCACCCTTATCATGTTGAAACCCTTAAAACCAGCACTACGCCCCACGGAGGGCAGCCCACCCTCGCAAACACCCTACTCGCGAGCTTTAACAAGCAGCATCACCCAACCAGAGGCTGTCGATGAAGACGCACTGACCTCAACACAAAAAGTCATCACAGAAACGAAAACCTAAACAGTGTACAACCACATCAGGTACGATGCATTTCAGGTCCGCTTCTCCTGTTGTTGTTTTTATCAGTATTAGATCGTGGTAGCGGCAACAATGTTGAATTCCGAAAATTATTTTCTTCGTCCGCAGAGGAGAGACTAGAAGACGTTTCATTACCACCACGAGGACCCATTTTCCCACACACCAGCGCTTCCGCTGGCAATTCTCCTGAATTACATCTTTTCAAGTTTCCCTTTGTTGACTCCACCCACCGTCTAGATGATACCGCAGGGACAGCAATGAACTCTCCCTCCCGCATTTGGCGGGCTCTTGTCTTATTGCTCAAATGCAACAGCTTGGTATTTTCCTCCCTCAGGCATGCAATCTGCTGGTTAGCACTATCAAGTTGTCGTCTCAGTTCCACCGCATCGGAGATTGTTACGCTTTGTCGACGCAATATTCGGTTTTCATCTTGTAGTCTACTACAGGAGAGCTGCAGGGAGATTATTTTTGCGATCAGATCACGAGTACCCCCGCTCTCATGCGCAATAGTAACTTTGCTTTTTTCAAGAGCATTGCCGTGAGCAAGCGCGCGGTTTAGATCAGCACGAAGACGACGATTCTCACTTTCCAGAGCCTTAGACGCCTTAATGGCTAACTGCCTTTCCACTTCAACAGAGTCCAGGGCCTCGGCGGTTCGATTTGCCACCTTCTCCGTTGATGCGACGGCGTCTAAAAGGCGACGGTTCTCAGATTCTGCCTCCTCCCGAAGTGATGACAGACCCCGATTCAGCGTGTAGACCTGCATTTTCAGGGACTTTTCTGACTCTCTAGACGAGAAAATTCATTGTATTCGTTTTTTACATCATAAGTTTAATTTGCCTATTCAAAAAGTTCAATTTAACAAAATTTAACAAGATACGAATATTACAGATTTCGGACATAAGGTTTGATCAGCATCATTTTTGGCAGAAAGTAGTATGACTTACTACATCACCATGATCAAATGAGTTGGTTTAACATCTACCTTCCAAACTAAATTTGCAATGATCGCTTAAAATCACACCGAATACTTGGATAATAGCAGAGGAATGAGATAAATAACTTTGTACTCAAGTCATTTACAGCTACTCACTCGAACGGGTTACAATTGTCGAGATTAGCTGCTGAATGGGTACTCTCAATGGTTAGTAAACAAATTATCTGGAAACTAGAAAGCAACCAGTCCATGCAAATCAATAGAGTTATATGTTAAATTAGATGAATTGGAAACAAATCGCCTCAACTCTTCCACTTGCTTTAGTATCTCGATATCCTTCATCATTGCATTCTTCTCCTGCTCACGCCGCGACTCCAGTCGCGAGAGCTTCAGGTCACAAGCTGCCTTAGCCTTTTCCACTTCTGCTAGAGCTTCCTTCAATCCGCCAATTGTTTCCGTTGCATGCTGGATAGCTTGAATCTTTGCTGCCATTTCCGAATCTAACCTGGCAAGAGAATCGTTAGCGATGAGAAGTTCTTGGTTCAAGCGTTTCGCATCCTGTCTTGCACGGGAAGCCGCATCCTCCGCAGCGGTTATTCGCATCTCTGCTGCCATTCGAGATCGCTCTGCCTCTGCTGACACCTCCGATGCCCTTCGCGACGCTTCTGCTAATGCTGCTTCGAGATCGGTGGCTGATCGCACCCGCTCTGCCTCAAGGTCTGCTTGTAACCGTGAAACTTCTGCAGTAAGACGACGTCGTTCCGTCGCTTCTGACTCAGCTAATTGGGCAAGCGCTGAATTGGCGGACCGCCGCATCTCCGCTTCCTTGGCCACTGCTTGCCGTGACAGTTCATCAAAACGAGTTCTCCAGTCTACCGCATCATGCTGACCCTTAACTAAGTCTTCCTTCGTCTGATCAAGGCAAATCCGCAACTCACTGATTTCCGCTTCACGTTTTGAAAGAATCTAAAGTGGTTTGACGAGTAATTTTACGTAGACCCACGGTCTGAAGTCTCGAAAGAGTTTGATCATATTGAGAGAGCTCAGCATCACGGCATTTGAGAAGATCGTAATTAAAGAGAAATGACTGCTTCAATTCGTCCAACTGAACCGTTTGCTCAGATATTTTCTCCTCCTTCTGAATTATGGTCTGCTGTAGAGAATTAATTTCGTCGGCCAATAACTGCTTCCATTCTTCTTCCTGTTTAAATACTGAAAAATCATTATTTCATTAGTAAAAGTGAAGAAAGAGATTATCGTGTAAAAATAAAGTTGATAAGTCGACGATGAAATTAAGTGGAGGGAGAGCCGATGATTTTACAAAAATGGAACTTGGTAGAGTGAGCGATAATGCAAAATAATCATTTGAGCCAACGATCATGCATATTAGCAGAAAAAACCCTTAAGTCCCAGCAAACGGCGTGACCACGGTTTGCATATTGATGAGTTTCAATTATAGAGGGATGAAAAACAACACACAACACTGCCATTGTTCACTCGACACTTAGAGCATATGAAACCTCGAAATACATGCCTGATTTTCAGCTTAAAGTTACATTTAAAGGCGTTAAGAGAAAAACCAAGCGCCAAACTCACTTTGACAAATGCTGGGAAATTCAGCGCGGCCGGATTTCATCGACTGAGGCATATTTAGTAAAAATTTAAAAAAATTGAAAACAAGAAAGA